CGTCATATTAAGGTGGATTTTCGAGCCGGATGACGTAGACCTGGCACTGCTGGGAACATCTTTGTCTCTCGTTTCAACAACAGATGATGATGAAGGGTTGTTCCCACCCAAGTCCCCATCATTACGTGATAATATCTCCTCTGTCACTTGACCGTCACGTAATGGCGCCCGTTCCATCGTTTCACTATCGTTACTTTTGTACATTTCTTCATCACCAGACATCCACTCATTATTTATGTCCGATACATCAATCATATTCCCATCCTCCACATCGTCATCATTGGAATCTTCGTTTTCTTCATTCTTTCTCTTCTTCACTTCTTCAAAGTCGTCACTACTAATATCCATATTTATACTACCCTCAAGTATTTCCGTATCCAGGTCCATGCTTACTACTCCTGCTTCACTACTCTGATCCATATCAAGTATTTCTATATCCGAGTCCTCGTTCGTTTTCTCTACTTCATTATTCCCAACCATATGAACCATATCCTGACTCGCATGATTTTCCTGGAGAGCTTGTATCGTTTATTAAAAAACAGAATTTGTAATATAATTTGCAGAATGAGCAATCAAAATATGTTTAAGAAATAAGGCATAACATGGCGCGGATTAAACTTTTTTCCAATGTAACAAAGCTTGCAAACCTCTGAGTCCATCCGCCTCATCCGCTTAGGTGGCATGTGGGGCCAGTGTACTCTGGTTGCTTGTATTATCTCCGCTGTATTCATATCATCATCACTATCAATGACTATCACTTCTGGAACTTATGAAGAATTAGTCTCTGTAGTGATAAAATATATTATACAATCATACTTGCATATATACGTCACAGTTCACATTTGCAATATGAATGGCTCAGTGCTAGAAGTATTTTTTCGATTCCTGGAAGCAGAACGTTACTGCATTTTATTTCTTATAGCTCTTTTATGATCAAGTGACTTCAACTGCAAAATTGATACAATTTGTTAAATAATAAATGCGTTAAATAATACATATCTTAATAATTATAAATTTGCTTGGCCTACCAGGTGTACGTGCTCGCCTACGTGTATCGGCAGTAATTACGGATATTATTTGGATGTCACTATTGTCAAATTCGCTACGACTGGAATCATGAACTGGAGAGGAAGACATGCTGCTCCACACTGCTATTTTAGTTTCAACTATCTGCAATTAACTGTTCACATAATTTTTTGGGACAGAGTAAACTACAAGTCTTACCATTCCTCATGTAGTATGCGCAACTCTGCATCTCTGTCCTATACATTTCAACAACCATTCGCTAAGCTATTCGAACACTCTCTCATCCTCATAGCTCTCACGTCTGCTCCGTCACTTCCCAAAATTATCACGTATGTTTTACATCGTAACTATAATCTTGTAAACCCTTGTTTATCCTCCTGGTGAACTTCACAAGCGCTGCCTACGTGCGCTCCACAACATCTACTTGGATTCACTAATTCGTTCTTGTTAACAGTGATTTTTTGGCATTAAGCAATAGGAAAACAGAACTTGCATCTGTTTTCTTTAGTGTCTGACATTAGTTTCACAACCATACTGATATCACGTTAGGCAACAGAGCCAACATAAAAAAAAAGAGAGAAAAAATAAATAAATAAACAAAAGGGAGATTCAACCACATGTCAGGTACATACACGTAAAACACGTTTTTGTGGCTATATTAACGAAGAACTCGTATTTAATATATGAACTCGACTTTTGCTCTTCTTTTATTTGATGTCGTACTGATAAGTACAAAAGGCAGCCTAAAAACTGAGAGAACTAAACCTAGCATACAACCAGACTCCGCGCCGCAACGCAAGCAAATTGTGCGTTCTTCAGGCCGACACTTCTTATGTAAGAGGTGGGCGCACTTTTTCATTATGATGTTGCTTTGACGAACTGTGGATTTGCATGCTCATTGAATTTGCATACTCTGCGAAACTGCATGTTCGTTGAATTTGCATATCTGTAGCATGGTATATGCATTTTTCCTTCACTTACATAATTCTTTTCACTCTAGTTCTTGAAAGCTGTAAAGTGGTTGATTAGGTTGTATAATATTTGCATAAATCCAGGATATTTATTTTCTTTTTTATCAGAGTTTTACACTTTGCATATCCATAGTTGTTTCATTTATTATTTAAACTTTGTTTCATACAGTCGTTTCATTTTCATCTTTCAGAATCGTTAGCAAGCTGCTGACTGAGTTATCCATTACCTGCACTTTCGTTTACGGAATTCAGGAGAGAAGTAAAACTTTTGTTTATACCTCGGTACCTACTTTTCTTCAATTTCTAAACTTCAATTACATTCTGTTCTTATGCTAATCAAATGGTCAACACTTTTAATGACATTTTCAGTTAAACAAAGGACTTTCACCTTTGCTTGAATAAGTAGCGTTTGTTATTAGACATGGACCGAGAACGTATCGCTGATCTTTTCGATCGTGTATGTATTCCCATAGCTTAATTTTGTTGACCCACCTCTCTGTCCTGATGGTCATTTATTTTGTCTAATGTGATTAATTACAGAATTCATCTACTTCCTTATTTTCTATTCATGCAAAAGTTTTCACCTTTATCTATTACGCCCACAAAAAGTGCAAAGATGAAATTGGAATTGTTTGAAGCATTCACTTGTTATGCTGCATTAGCAGTGAGATGTTGTTGAAAAGAAGGGATGTCTAGCTTTTAAAATAGAATGCATATAGTATTGTAGTTATGTTATTCCAGCTAAAAAGTGATCATTCCTATACAGTGCAATCATCGACACCCGACCAGATGGTAAATAAAACTGAACAAAACACACAACAACACGAACAGTCTCGCCCTGTCTATATTTGTCCTGACTATGTTGCAAACACAAAAAAGCGGGCATTGTTTACCTCAGGTATCGAGACTAGTGTTACTACGGAAATGAATTGGCGTGAGTTTAAACGGAGAAAAACAGCCATTTCGAATGAACAAACAGGTGAAATGTTGTAGTATTTGAAAATTATCCACCTTAATAATATTGATGTTCATATTTCGGAGTGTGTAATTAATAGTTATAGAGTTATGATTTATCATAACTGGTACCTTATATTGTTTTTTAGCATGGCTTTGTTCATGTTTTTTTAATCGATCCAAGTCATACTACCACAATTTTTCAGAATATGCTACGGTAATGTAGGAACAACTAGATTTTCCAGATCCACTGGTGACGGTAACAGTTTCCAATATTGACACAGTGAGTGCGTGGTTCACCAGCGCTCCTTATCATCCAAATTACTACGGTTATGAAGGGCGTGACTTTTCATTTAATGACTCTAAAATACGTTGTACGATCTGTCACATCAAGGTATTTAACAAAAAAAAATTTAGTGATTACCTAATTAAAAGTGGCAGCAAAAGTCTTGGAATAATAAGTTTATAAATTTAGAATCCATAGGTATATTTACCAACGTTTCATTACGTTCTATAGACTCATGCAGAAGAATGCGTATATCACTACACGTATATGTTCACATAAATATACATTTGCTTCTGTAATTTCAGTTTTAAGCCTATTCAAGTCATATTTCTCACAACAATATGTCAAATCTTGCAATGCTTTTTTAAATAGAAATCTTATCTCATCATAAGAAGATAAAATAATGGTATGTCTGCCATAAAAACAAGATGAATTTAATCAACTACAGGTGCCTAAAAAATATCTCAAATTCCTTGCTTGGATTTTTCGTGGGTATAATTAATAATAATAATAATTAATCGTAATAATTAATAATAATAATTAATGCCCAGCGCGCAATGTAAAGGTGGAAGTTTTTATACAATTATTGATTCTTATATTATAAATAAAAATTTTGTCGAGCTTCAATTTAAAAAATTTAAAAAAACGTTCAGATGACACTGGAAAGCAAACAAAGTGCCGTTTGTGTGTTTTATTATAATTTTTCAAAAAATGATTCAAAATATTGAAATTCCACACCCGAAACAAAGAAAATATATTGTCCAACTGTAAAACCTATTGTTGACGTTTTATTGACAGAAAGTATGCAAAGAAATTTTAAAAAATGCACAACACGCGCACTGTGAATTATATGATAGTGAAACATTACTTTTGCTATCTAAATACAGTAAAAAGTCTTTATTACTTTTTTTCCAACAACCTGCTTTCGTAACTGAAAGCTGGACTGTTTAGGTACAAAGACAAAGTAAACTGAAAAACCTTGCTAAAAGCTATTAAACTTCTTTAATTTTGTAACTTTGCATACTCATTATCACTAGAGCAAATTTGGATCATTTTATGGCCGTCTTATTAGTCACGTAAAAAAACGACAGATTGGTATGTTATTCAACAACTGTATAACCAATTGATTTTGATTGAAATTTAAGGTTTTAGTATCTTATTAGTTCCAGACACATAATTAATATTTCTTTATAGTTAAGTTAATTAGAATTTTTGATTGACGTCAATGGCTAATGAAAATAAACGATTTTGCGCAATACAAAATGTAAAATGAAGTGCATAAGAGAATTACAAATAATAGATTGGTGGAACGAAGACATTAGGCAGCCATGGATAACAAAAACTAGGTGCAATTGTAAACATTCAATTGAATTAGTTTAATATAACTTTGCTTCGTTTGGATGTTTATGGCTAGCTAAAAAAATCAGTAATCGTGTTTAGCCAAAGGTTGGCCAGTGGAAAAAGTTGAAAAAATCATTAATTCGAAAATTTATATCTAAAAATCTTTGCATATTTTAAATGCCGAAGAAGATTTATCATTCTAATTAAAGAAGAAAAAATTTTGTTTCAGTTTCAAAATTCAAATTTTGAATTACAGTATAAAAGAGTATCAAATCATCTAAAATTTTCTTAAAAATTTCTGTGCTTAACAACGACACCTATTTAAGTGAACTGAGTGAGAATTTCACCGAGTTATAATTTTAAAACCTAAACATCATAATTAATAGAATTTTTCTACATCAAAGCGCAAATAGCATAACTTAGAGCCTCATCTAAGCGCATCTAATGTTGACCAAATCCTAAGGCACTGATCCAACTACGAACCTCAGCAATGACGATGTGCATTTTAGAGCTGGAATTCCTGCAGCTTCTGCTATAAGACTTGCCATATCATAGATCCTCGTTTTAAATTGCATCTAAACTAATAACTGGCCTCAAAGAGAAGAGAAGGTTCTCATTATTTTTCTATTTTTCGTCACCACCCTCATGCCTAGAGTAGCTAATTACGTGGCTGCTGCCTTCATTAAATGTGTTTGCCGTTTTTCAGGCTCCCTCCCCGAGTCGAACTTGTATTCTTCATTATCCATCACAACCTGGTAGGAACATAAGTTACCACTGAAAGTTGGTAAGATACTTGTAAAATGTGTCACTGCACAAGACCATGCAACCAGCTATGGCTTTGTAAATTTACCAATTACATTACGACTTCTTTGACTAACCACATTAGGTTTTTCCTTCTAATGGATGCGGTCATCCTTTAAATTTGAGCTTTGGTGTATTAGCTCCAAAAAGTTAGAGATTCAGGAATATCATGAAGAATAATTTCAATCAACAAGGAATCTTCAGTCTTTGATTTTGAATTGAGTATTGGACTGATATTATTTTTCGCAAGCCTGAAACTCACTCTATCATTTTAAATTTATTACATTATATTTTACATAATTTTGACTTTCGTATTTCTCAAAATTTGGAGTTAGTAAGTATTGTTAAAACCATTTCTTTAATAAGCTAATTTCACGATGAAAGCAATAAAGACCTAATTTTTTTTAAGGAGGTTATTCTTCGATTTCGCATCAGTGATTCTGCGCTGGATCGTCTTCTGGTTGCATTCGGTTCGCACTCAGTTCTGCTATGCTGGTCTCTGTTGCCTCGCCTTCGTTGAATCTATGGCGGTGATCGAATGAGACGCTTTTGAACGTCTTCTAGAGCACTATTAATTAGTAATATGCTTTAATGTGATCAGTTACACTGATTTTCTTCTCGTATCTTTTATGGGAGTTCACTACTATCTTATGTCATCACGTACGGCACTGCTCGATTCGAGGCATAGTTCATGATCAAAAAACATCGGTGCCTTGAACCGAAACTTAGAATGATTGGGTCCTGCGTGTATTATCATCAAGTTTAATGGAGCGAAAAATGAAAAATGTGGGGTCTAACAAAATTTATTTAAAGCATTTTCAGCAAAACCATATATATACCATTAATTTGATTATATTGGAAAAGTTACTTGTTTCAAGCCTAAAAAACCTAAAAAACCGGTTCCCAATAAATTCTAAGCAAAAAAATTTACCCATAATTACAACGCCAGTGAGACTTATCACTTTAGTGCAACTTAGTTCACATGTATGTCTAATGTCTCGACTACAATTTTTAATAGCAAAATTTCCAAAAAATTTTTCATGAGCGCCAAATGCGAAACTAAAATTCGTGTAAAAATTGGTAGTTTCTTGAATAATTTAGTGAAATTTATATTCAACTGGCTACAGTAATCTAAAATACACTTTTTTTTTCGTATTTGTACATAACAGTTCTATCATTACTAAACATGCTTATAGCTCCTGAATAATCACATCACCATATTTTATGCTCGACAAATTTTTATTTTACTTTGCTGAAGTGCAGAATATATTCAGACTTCTTGTTTATCTGAGGGGACACGATGAGTATTTAAAAAATATTGTTAGAAAATAACATATTGGCTTACTTTTGACGTAGACAAATTGTTAAATCAAAAGTAGTATTCTACAAATTGTAGAAGTTACCGTCATAATATTTTGTAACAATGATGGAAGGTGGAATGTACTTTTTCATCACTGCGAACATGATCACGTCAAGCAATTATAACAGATGGATTATTTGATAAGATTATCAATATTACCAAGATCACAATGTACTACGACAGTTGTTAAAAACACTATTTGAATTGTTTCTTAAGAATGATAAAGTTTTCAAAGTGATTTATCAAATTTTATCACAAGAAAAGGTCAGACAAACCAGACAAAATGAAATAAAAATTATTATTTTGGCCAGTAAAATCAGTTATAAGTCTTGGTCCCGATTATATGTTCATCTTAATTGAAGATTCTGTTTCAAAATGAAATTGAATGAATTTAAAAAAAATATAGTTGAATACGTCAAATAACTTGAAATATGATGACTAGTTAGGGAAATCTATCAATTAGATTCCATTTTCTTTATGTTGTGACGAATGCTGATATTACCGTATTTAGGATTATCAGCCTGTCAGTTATCCTCATATTATATGATAAGGTAGTTCTTCTAAACGTTCCATAGATATACAGGTCTCGAAAGCAGTAAATGTTTCAAATAAATGTTATGATGAATGCTAATATTACTATCGTTCGAATCTGCGCTAAATAATAGATCACTAACTTTTTATTATGAATATTTAAATATTTAACAATGATTTGATTGTAAATTTTCGCATGAACAATTTAAAATTTATCCAAAGCGACGATATATGGAAATAACCAAAAAGTTAGTTGATTTATTTTTCTTGTGAATACTGCAATGGAAACAAATCACTAAAATATTAAAAATATTGCTTTTTGGTATTACTGCAAAAAGTGTTGCAAAAATTTGTTTCATTATGAAATCATTTCAATAACTAACCACTTGACAACTCAAATCAAATTCAGTCAGTCAATGAGCTAAACTTGAGTATTTTGGGGCGTATCAGAAATAAGACTATAAACAAGTCAGTCACAGTAGATGAAATGACGGGAGGTAATACTTCATGAACAGACAATTTTAATTCATTTTGAACTTTTCTAAATTAATTGGGGTAGATAATAAATGTTTATTACAATAACATTTTCACATTTTTGGTCAAGTCTTAAAAGCGTTAAACTTGCAAAAATAGTTTTATACAAAATCTCTCAAATCGATAAAATTTCATTATTTGACGAGAAGTATTGAGCAATAATATTAAATGCAGCAATCGCTTTGTCTTTTCAGATGATCTCGTAAATCAAGCAGCTACTAGCTAGCAGCTATTATATCTTCTTAGGCTCATGAAAGTCAAGTCTATGTTTGTTGTATCATTGCAGCCCAAAGCTCTTAAGATATACAACACTAAAATCATCATTAATAATGTAATTTGACTTTTTCTGTATCTTTTTGATATTGTCTCATAACTGTTTCATAGTAGACAGTATGCATCAAAATGTGTAATTATGTACTTAATTTTTGCTATAAAACGTGATAATGGACTTGATTAATTTGCTTGACAATTTTACTAAAATCCATTTCTTGTAGTTTTGAATTTGTAAAATCCTATGATTTCACTTGAAAACAAAAACTAAATATTCAAGAACAAATAGATAATTTTTTCAAATATCACAAATTTAAATACTAGAAAAAATACAAAAATTTGCATTCTAAGATCATACAAA